ATGACAAGTAATAAAATTTTTCGTTTGAATAATTAATAATATATTCATATTTATTTTTTTTAGATGATTCATTTATTAATATGCGATATAGCAATTTTTCTGTAAGATATTTATATTCAAAAACAAACTTGTCAACGTAGTCTTTTTGGAACTTACATGTATTCTTTAGTCTCAGAGTAGACATACATCGAAATTCAATAATAGAATTTGAATATTTTAAATTTATCTCATTGATTATGAACTATAGTAGAATGCAATAAAAAAATTGCTACTCGATATTCAAGCTTTCATTTCACATAGAAATTGTTCGACAACCCAATCGAAGAATAGTTGGTGTGTATGGCTACCAGTAGCAACCAAAAGTCGATCTTCATTTAAAATGAAAATATCTGATCTATTAACTACTGAAGATTTTTCGATAAGTTTATTATTCGTTTTACACTATCGAAGACATAAACATCATTGAGCAGTCAAAATTACCTTTTGCCTATTAAGATATTACAATGTTAGATGAACAAGTCACTGTAAACGATAAGAGCGCTAATGTTAACATAGGAGGATACAATGAGCGACAGAGATCAAGTGTGCTTTCGAATAAAACTTACTAGCAGCCATCCAAAACTAGGATCTGTCGTAGGTCTAAAAATTCTCAGCAACAGTTTAGGAGAATTACGAATAGTGAACAGACGATAGTGAGGCTGTGGGTTCGGATTAAGAGAACACCTATATCCACACTTTTATGAGCTTAACCTACAGACAAAATTGCAGATCGAAAATCCTTGGTTTGATTTTCTGGCCAATACTTCGTCCGATGACAAAATCCAACAAAAATTATTGTAACTGTGTAGAAAAAGCTAATGAATGAAAATTCTTTTGGAGTTGTTCTAATTTAGAAGTTCTTTCTATATAGCCAAATTATGGATTTCAAAACTATTGAATCACTATGGTCGATTCGCTTGTAAGAAAATGTTAGTCTAGAGAACAATTTGATTTTGGATATAGAATTTATAACAATCTTTTCAATAGATTATCTATTCATCTACTGTTGTAGTTCATTTCGAAAGACAAAAAACTGAAAAAGATTATTTGAGATCACACCCTTGTGCCACACCTCTATACGAGAAAAGTAAAATTTTCAGTGAAAGTCAGACAACTACGAGTTTTTACAAATATGTCTATTTATTCAAGACTTCAACTTAATATATTAAGATCTATCATCTAAAACATCACAGCAGCAACTGCTACTTTTGAATAATCGGTTTTATTTTGCTACTATTAAGTCCTTTAGACTTAAAATAATTCCACTAAAATATAAAATAAATATTTGAAATACCTTCAGTTCACGCTAAATGGCTGGGCCAATATCGCTTTATTTGGATTCTCTAAAATCACTGAGTTGTAAACTGTCATACATATAGAAAAACTCGTATATATATATTAGTATGAAGTCACGGACAGTTGGTCATATACCTGAAAACGGACAAGTTTAATAAACAAAACGTAGTAACAAGAGAGAAGCGCATTACTTCACCATATGTCTAGAAAAATTCAAAATTTCCCATTGACATTTCTTTCATTCTTACTATGTCCTATTCCGTTTATCCGACTCATTGTGGAATTCACGTATATTTTTCACAAGAAGATTATGAGTTAAGGTTTAAGCTACAGTTTCCAGTCCCATTTACAAACCTTAGAAGCTGAGGTCAATGGATAGGAATTCTCTGCTAATAACAGAGAACAAGCAACATTATACTCCTTAGCAACAAAGCTTAGATTGTTCTAGAACAATTGCTTAAGTTTTAACTTCCAGAAATAATCAATACCAGTGTCCGGAATTAGTCGTCTGTTAGAAAATATTTTTTCTATTAGTACGATGCAGCTAAAGAAGACATGTAAGTTTCATATTTTAGTCCGAAAGAAGTTACACTAAAAAACTTTTTGTTGAAAAACAAAAATTCTATTTGTGTTCCTTTAGACACCGTCATTACATAATTATCAATCACACACAGATTTTACATCAAGTCTACCATCACAAACACAACAAACTTTAAATGGTTTTCCGCGATTAGTTACTCCTCCTACTGATCATTCAACTTTAACAATTGAACATCAAAAAAATATTTTAAATCGAAATACTACGAATGTAAATCAATTTTTTTTCAAAGTTTTTTTTGTTTTTTAATCAAAATTTATTAATTCTTTTTTTTCGAAATAGATGACTGTTACTGAATTAACATCAATGAACATCTATAATAATAATCATTATGAACCATTAACACCACAAACACTTCCATTTGATACATATTCGCCACAAAGTTTATCAAAATCAATTAATAATAATAATAATAATAATAATAATAACAATATCAAACCATTAATACCATCATCAACAAATGTTATAATGAATACACAACCAACAACTATAATTTATGCATCTAGTTCAATAAATAAACCAACATCATCATCATCAACACTTGTTAATCTTCTTCATCAAAAACGTCCATCATCATTATTAGATCAATCTGTATCAAATAATTCATTAACAAAAGAAAAACATACTAAATCAGTCAAACAAACAAGAAAACAACCACAGAAAAAAACATTAACTAAACAATTTCTCTCTGTACATGATGATATTCAGGTAAATTTAAATAAAACTTTTTTCAATTTCTTTTTTTGGTAAATGAAAATATTTTTCTTTAGCATATGCCAAATCCAACACAAACAATGTTAAACTATCCTTTAACTCGTAAAGCTAAAATGCAACAACGTGTTTTGTCGCGTGCAGCTTCGCAAGAAATACCTATGAATATACCACAACAATTTACTAATCCATCATCTTCATTAACTAATCAACAAAGAGCATCAACATCAACAGATATGTCTTACTTAAATAATGATATGGTAATGAATTCAAAAATAAATTTTCATAAATAATTCTAACACCAAAATATATGAGGAGAATAATAAAAATTGTTCAGATAGATCAGAGAATGTTTTCAATAATTTTTTAGATCTGAATTAGAATTGAACTTGTCGATCTCTAATCATACAAGATGTTTGAGTAGTTCATTGAATAGTAAATGTAATTTCAAGAAATTAGATTAATTTTTCATTTAATAATTATCATAGCATATTGAATTTGTTTTTTTTTGAAAAGTATTATATTTACAAAGTACAATTTAAAACTACACAATAATTAGTATAAATCCTTATGACAGATTAATATTCCATAGATTGTAAGAATGAATGGACGTGGGTGAAACTATCTTCGTACGAAGAAATAAAATCGTAGTGCTGAATTATCTTTAGAACTCACAATCATTGTTATTAAATTATTGAATGGTTCAATCGACTGTTGAGTATTGTATTTATGAGAAGTAACCACGAGTATCTGTATGCACAAACAAAGGTTATATATTCTAGTTGAAAACAAAAGTTGCAGCCTCGAACGAATGTCAGTATTGTATTCATTTTGAATTCTATCTTTTTTTTTTAGTTTTAGCGTTGTCGGTGAGTGTCCGCAGTTCTTACAAGTACCCAAACGCATAAATTTAATTTTGTTTAGACTACATAGAAAAATAAAGCAAACAATTCTCTACAAAATGAGATGTCTCCAATGTTTTTTTTTCTAATTTTCTATTTAAAAAAAAAATCATTTTTTGATCTTCAATCAAATTGCTGTGTCTCAGCCAAAAAAAATGTGGCAGAGAACTCGACGATGTCTCATTTTGTAGAGAATGATTTACTCTATCATTCTGTGTGGTCGAAATAAAATTATATTTACATGGTCTAGGTATTGTGCAACTAGCTTTTTGATTTTCTGTAGTCTGTATCTTTGCGAATGTGATAATAATTTTTATTTCCTTATATTCATGTTGGAAACCATTCTTCCGAACGCTTACGACAGAGGAAAAAATTGAAAATACATCTTGTTGAATCGTTTTGATACTCATTGTATATGGATATCTCTATCCTGTCAGTCTAAAGTCAAAGGAATCGAATCTCGATTCATGTTAGTTATTTACAATCGTATGTCCTGAAATTAGGCATAAAAACAGTTGTTAGATATTCTATTATTTCATATTAGTCGAAATAAAATTCATTTGAGAAAATAAAATAGAAATTTCGAAAGTGATTTTTTTTCTAGAAATCACCGGAAAGCATTTTTATCTTATGCCAGAGGTTAAAATTCCAGTAAAATACCTATTATTCTCGATAGAAAGTCTATGAGGACTTATCCTTTTGAGATTTTTTATATTTCATTCGATTCTATCTCATGCACAGAGTTCGAATTTCAAAAGCGATTGATCAATTGAAAATATTTTCTCATGAGACCAAAAAAGCAAAGAACTTGCTTCCAAACATATTATTTATTTGAGAGAAGAGTTAATTTTCTTTGAAATCATTTATAGATAGTCAATACGTCTCCATTATCAAGTCCAACTTCTGGACAAAATGCTGAAAGTAAACGTCGTCGAAATATAAAAGTAAATCATTTTGTTTTTTTTTTGTTTCTTTCAATGAAAATTAAATATTATATTTTTCTTTAGAATGGTTTTGAAAGTCTTCGTTTATTAATCCCAGAACTTAGTGATCCATCAAATGCAAAAATAAGTAAAGCACAAATGCTTGAATGTAGTAAGTAACTTTTTTTTTGTTTTTATATTCTTCTATCTATTTTATTATTATTTTTATCTTAGCTGCAAATCATATTCAACGTACTGTTGATATACGTAATAAAATGAAAGAAGAAGTTGATTTATTACAACATGAAAATGAACAATTACAACAAAAAATTTCACAATATCAAACAAGTTTACCTGTTGATGGTATACCTATTATACCAGCAACACGACGATCACGTGAAGCATCTTATGCACTTTTTCATGCATATGTTGCTGATCGTACAAAAAAAAATTGGCGTTTTTATCCATATTCACTTATACTTAAACGTATATTTGATACATTTCAAAATATGGTTACATGTGATTCAACTGAAGAATTTTTACGTTCATTAAATGAATGGAAAACAAATTCACTTAATCTTGTACAATTACGTCAAGCAGCTTCACAATCTGTTATTGATATGGGACGTATAACGTCATTAATTACATGTAAGTTATAAAGATAAAAGAAAATATAATTATTGAATTAATATTTTTTGTTTTAGCACCTGAATGTGTACCGGATGAATGTGTTCAACTAGCAACCAATGATAATCAATGATTTTGTTTTTATTTTATATTATTTAGTCTTTCTTGTATTTAATATTTTTTTTTATTGCCTATAATGCCTTTATTTTTCCCTCTATCGAATACAATTCTATTATGATTACGTGTTTGTATAGTATTGATTGTTTGACGGTGTTTTTTTTGTCAAGTAGTTGAATGTCGATGAGAAAAATGTATTATACAAATATGTAAATTTCTGCAGTGATTGTTCCCTTTTTCTTTTGAATACAGGATAGAAATAAAATAGAGAACAGCCCTGTAAGTATAGTTATTAAATATATGAAAATTTTCTGAATTAAGGTTTAGGTTTTGTTAAGTATTTAAACAGTGGTTTTTGCAAGGGGGAAAAAGCTGATTCCAAGATTCCATTGATTCTACATGATTCTATTGATTCTATATGATTCCATTGATTCTGTATGATTCTATTGATTCTACATGATTCTACATGATTCTGTGTGATTCTATTGATTCTATGTGATTCCATATGATTCTATAAGATTCTATATGATTCGAAGTGAGGATGCATGACCTTAAGCAATAGTAAAAATTTGCCAAAATATTTAATTAAGTAAAGAAATGTTCAGAAGTAGCAAAAATCAAACAGCATCTACAACGTTTATCAAATAATTATACATTGAAAGTTAAGCAGGATATCTATTCTTTTTATTTTTATTTAAAAAAAATTTCGTTTTATTTGTTAGTGTTGTTTGTTAGCTTTGTTTGTTATTTTGCCATTACACGAGTTAATCGATCAGACGATAATGTATATTTTTTATCTGTGAGATACCAAATGGCTGTACTTTTATGTAAATACTTTTGTTTTCCATCAATACGAACTAAGAAATAGGAGTCTTTCAGATCTGGATTAATGGTATTACGAACTCCTTTCATAGTCGGTAAACGATTATTTGTTGTTTGTGATGTTAAGATATCGTCGTTGTCTTCATCGATACCATCGTAATCCTCCTCATCATCATATATATCCATTTCGTTTTGATCGTTCTGTTCATCTTCCTCCGTAATACTTCCTTCAGAATCTGAGTCCGATTGAGCATTTTGTTCATCAATTGATGTTGGAATTAGAAAATCTGCTTTTGTTGAAGACTTTTTTAAATGATTGTATATATGTTCACTAACTTGTTTCATAGTAACATCGATTGATTGTGTAAATACTTGTTTGATGCCCAATGGAACTAAAAGATTAAAAGCATCGCTGAACGCACGACCCACTTGTTCTTCAATTTGTTGCTTGGTAATTTTTTCTGGTTGAATTGTTGATTGTTTTGAATTTCGTTGTGTCTTGTGATGACTAGAAAATTTAAATGTAGTAGTTGTTAATGATGAATTTGTTTGAGCTTTGATATGATTTAAGAATGAAATCTTCTCTTGTCGATTAAGAAATTGTTGAATAGAAAAATTTACACAAGTAGAAAACGTTCCAGTTATGGATCTTGTTAGTTGAAAAAATCTCTCACAAGTTTGAGAATTGAAGAGGAATACATTTAATGTTTCAATTGGTAATTGATTTTTGACAACCAATAATGTAAGATAAGTCAAATTGTGTGCATTAATTTCAAGACATAAAAAACTCGGTGATGTAATGAAGAAATTTCGTTTTGTTTTTTTTTGTTTGAATTTATCTTTGGCAATTTCGGAAATATTATTCATTTCTGAAATATGTTTATCTAATTGTCGTTTGGGTATCAAATCAAGCCATGTACGCCACAGTCGACATAGGAACACGGCTAACCAGGCGTGATATATCCGGTCAGAAGTTGTTGTTGATGTATCAATGAATGCTATAATTACACAACGAATAATATTGATATATACGACTGTAGCATCCGAACCACTAATTTCTTTTAAATATTCTAATGCAGCACATAACTTTTCGCACGATCTATAATTTTGTTTTTGACGAGGACAGATGTCCGACTTGACCAAATTGTGCTTGAATTTCGATTGTGATTCAATAAGTTGCAATAAATAATCAATACTAATTACATTTTCACCCATCATCATAATAGCTGAAGATTGTAAAAGTCGATTACGAAGTTTGGTGCAAACGTGAGTTGCATCTTGCATGAATAAGAATAACTGTTCACCTGGTAAATAAAACCACGACCAAGAAGTTGTTATAGCAACCTTTAGTAATGAAGAGTGTTTTGACTTTTGGTTATTGATCAAGACACCAAAAAAACCAGAAACCAGCATCATGGCTAATAAATACTTTGGATCAGTATCCGTTGAGTATCCTACGATCCGTATACCTCGTGATGAACTTTCTTCAAAAATTGTATACCAACGACGAATAATATCAAGGGCAGTGTATTTTCCATTTGTTCCATATGCAGCTAATGCAAAAGAAGGACTAATTTGATTATTAATACATATTGGTTGGATCATATGTAAATTAAGTAAATGAGACATTTCTTTTTCTTCAAACCAACTTTGTAAATCTTCAATTGAGTTTGTTCGAAAATATTTAATATGAGGCATACCATTTTCGTCGAGTGGTGGTGTAAATCCAATAAATGAATTTGATCGAACATCATATACGATCTTACGTAAAGTACTGGTACAATCTTCACTACAAAATGCAAATTTTGAATTAATTTCATCCATATATTTATTCATATCATCGTAGCGGAATTCACCTTCTAATGCACGAAATCCTGCTGTGGATAATTTTGCTCGAATTGTGATTAAGCTGGGTAATGTACCAGGTATATTAATACGTAAAAATTCATATGCGTTGCGGTCTGCTAAAATAAATAAGCAGACAGCGAAATCAAGTACTTGTTCATTATAACGATATCGACTTTCGGCAACAGTTAAATTTGAAAGAAGGTTTTCAAGGAAGTAATGTAGAAAAGGTTTATCAGTTGGATGAGAATTTTGAGAAGATGTGATGAAGAAGTTGATTAAACCTTTGAGAAATGGATATTGTTGTAAAATCTCGAATGGTATTATTAAGTCGTTTTCATCAGTAACAGCAGTTGTCATTTGTCCATTATTAATTGATGCATTTCTAAGGCTGTTCAATAATTTATCAACGTCGTGCCGGATTCCAATCTTGATTGTACAACTACCATCAGAACGACAAAATGCTAATTTCTTCTTGACAATAGCTAATTCAACATAATCTTGCTGTAATGGTAAGAAAATATCATTAATATCAAGGAGTGAACGAACTGAACGAACACGAAGTAGTTGTAAATATTCTACAATATCTTCACCACAAAACTGACCAACCAAATCAAAAAAGGCAGCATCTCGAAATTCAAGTACATTATGTGGAAATAAAAGCAGTGATTGAGTCATGTTATTATTTTTCTAAATGAATAAACAAGGTAGAATGAGCATAAACAGAAACGATCACTTGTATACTAAGAAAAAAAGAAAGAGATGTGATAAAAAATTTATTTTATTTATCAAAATTGTAAATACGAGAAAGACAACACTTTTCGATTTTTTTTTGTTATATTTACTATCATTAAGCACTTTGTAGCAAGAAATTTCCTATCTTTATTAGAAAATTATTCTAAGCACCTGTAAAAAAACAAACATCAAAAGTAAATATCAGTCACTATTATTCATAAAAATTAAATATTGATAAAATAAAAATAAAAAAATTAATTAATGAAATATCTAAGTTATCTGTTGTATTACGTCTAAGCTGTTCGAATCTTTTTCGTCGTTGTATGCTTAGATGTTGATCGTCGAGTTCTTTTTCGAACAGAAGTTATTGATATTTGTTGTAAAGAAGAAATAGAAGTTGAATCTTGAGTATCATCTTGTGTTGTATCACCAATTGAATCATTCATTACTTCAGTTTGAACCATCAAGCAACCTGATTTTAAATGACGAAAGTAATTTGATAACTATTAAAAAGAGAAAGAAAGAAAATTTTTATTGATGTTTTTTCAACTACATTTACTAATAAATAGTTCATATTCGGTCGATTTTGTAATTTTACTACGAAAATGCAAATATTTTACCTAACTTCAGTACCATTCAAAGGTAAGAAATAAATATTTAGACTCTGAGGTTAAACATTCGACTTCCTACTACCTCACATACTACGTCTAATTTGTTGAAACAAACATGCTAGGAGACAGTAAATGTTTTGACAAATAGCCTTACTTTGAAATTGCCGGATTCAGCACGTAACAGAATGTATACTAAACCACATGAACATTTAATTTCAGCTTTATCAAGAGATGAAGTAAATTTTAAATGATAATGCATACCAGAAATAAGATTAGAATCAGGAATTTTAATTGCATTTTTATTTTGAATACACCAATCTTGAATAGAATTTTCAATAAGATCACGATGTCCATCTTCATCTTTTTCTGAAACGGATAAACCAGCAGTTGTATTAACATTAGATAAATTATTAGAACTGAATGATGAACATAAACCAGTTGATTGAAATAAAGTCGGTTGCATACGTTTGGTTCTGACGACTTTTTTTTGCATTTCTTTCAAAAGTGTCTTAACATAATCAAGTGAACTTTTAATTCCTGGTCTGACTGTATATATTCCATTTCGATTCTTGAAACCACATCGTGTCTGAATTTCCTTCACGTCATCACTATCAAGTGCAAATATGGAATAAGCATCTTCAATGGAAAGAAATGAATCGACAGATCGTATAGATTGAATTGATAATAAGTCGGCCTCGTCTTTACCACAGAAATTTTCAATAAATGTGTAAAAACGTTCGTTTGTATAAGTAAAAACGTCTTTTGGTAAACGAGATATGTCGACTGAAATACGTGTCATGTTGATTGTGTAGAAGATGAAATTGAACAATAGACATATACGAGAAAATAATTACTAAAGCAGACGACATTCTTATTGTCCGTCTAGATAATATATATGAATGAAAGAAAAAAAAACTTTGAACGTTCGTTATATCTAGGTCAATTAATTCATTTTTGCATCTCACTTAAGATCACAAACGTTGTTATAGAAAGGTATTTATTT